GATAGTCGAGTCTGGAGCAAGCACATCGCGTAGTCCAGACACATCCTTATTCTGAATCTTGTTCATCGTAAAATTTTTGTTCTTTTCCTCCTTTCGGAATCTCGGGAGGAACTTCGCGTTCAAATTCCAAAGTGTGAAGATTGGGAAGTGAGTTGCGCTCATTTAAGACTGCTGACGAGATTAGCTACCCGACAAAGAGCTGACGTACCGGCCGACGCTGATAGACGGAAGAGCCGAGGCGAGCTATCCATCTAATGTCTCGGCAGAAACTGCTGACTTAGGGAGAATCGTCGTGAGGGTTCTTTGAGATTTCGCATATTATTAGATCTGTGGCATTTTGCGTTTTGTTGATTTAGAAAGTTGGTGGACTTGGAACTCGAACTTGCACCTTGCTATTTTTGAGACTTTTTGAAACATTTGAAATTGAGAAACGCCTGAAATATATATTGTTATGTTGACCCCGAAATTTTTGAAACTTTGGTAAGACCATTCCTTTTTTTTTTGGGTAGCCTTGAATTGTAATTTCTTGTAGAAACCTGGACCAAACCCCGACCCTGGCTGGGTGTAGCCACGCGAAGTGGTGGCTGAGCACGTATAACCATGCTGAGAGATGGGAGGCTTGCGCGCGGCCGACCGTCGCATGCGAAGTGCAGCTGCCATCACCGTACGCACGAACTCCCCAGGATAGCGTATATGGCCAACCATCGATGTTTTACTGAACTGTTGAAACCGTTTCATGCTGGAATACTTGGTTATCCTTTTTGAACCCCCTTTCGTTCGAACTTTGAACCGAGAGCTCTAAGTCCCACTAAATGTGTGTAAATCCTTAATCGATGATTTCTGATTAAGGAGAGTAGTCGATGAGTCCCTATGCTTCACTTGAGAATTTCTCGAGTCGGCAAATCGGGAATGTCATGGTTGATGTATGTGGTACCGTGTTGTGGACTCGGATTGAGACGCACGGTCTGTGAAGGAATCGTGAGCAAGTTATCAGTGTGACTCGGATACGAGACTGAAACTTGGCGTCACGTGTCCACCTTGATGGTGAGATAGTCGGAGTACGCTGACAATACACCGAACGACCTGTTGAGGTCTTGTGTGCTGTTAGGTACAAAGCAAGTCATCGATACTCATGAGTATAGGCTAAACCGAACAGGGTCCCTTGCAAGAGAATGTACGCCTGAGCTCGGACATGACTGATCATCCTCTCTAGCAAGAAGGTAAACATATGAGCATGGGCGAGTCGGATTGGTTCCTGTATGTGAGTACATGCCTTTCGAGTATAAGGCGATAGGACTCATGGGAACGGAATCGAGTTCCGGAGAGTGATGCCCGGACCTCGTGACTGGAAATTCATGTTTGAGTCTGTCGTTATCTGAGATGCGTGTTCTTTCGCATTTCCGAGGACGGAAATATTTTAAGGAGGATAGATTGTAATGCCCCGTTTGAATTATGGAATTTGGGAGTTATTTATCAATATTGTTTTTTATATTTATTTGTTGTTATTATTATTGAATGCTATAAATTATTAATTGTCTGATATGATTTATCTTAATTGTTTAAATATTAATTAATTGCCTAAATGTCTAAATACTATTATTGTAAATTGTTAAATTATGTATTTATATTTTTACTATTATTATTATTATATTATTAAAATTTAAATTGTGTATTATCAATATATATTATATATTTGGTTTGTTTTTTTTAATTGTGCGAATTTATTTATCGAGCCCGAGAAATCTGTATTACTTCTACGTAGTCGGGCCCGAGAGCCGATACGTTTCATTGAACCGAACCTGCGAGCCCGATAATCCGGCCAAGCCCGAGCCCAACTAATCTGGCCCGCCCCATTTGTCATGCGCGTGTGAGCTTTTTCTTTCTGCTCAAGACATTAAACCTAGTCTAGGATATATATATTTTGTTCTCGTTCGGTTTCTCAGAAAACAAAAACCCGCAGCTTTATTCTGTTCACGAAAACCATTCCCTCGATCGCGACTCAGAGCAGAGGAACATCTTTCTCTTTCGATCGTTTTGCTCCCTCATCAGAAATCCCTCAGGCCGTCATCTTCACCACCCTTTCCGATCATCATCATCCCTGCAACTCGATCCCCTCATCACCATATTCACCCTCCTCGTCATCTTCTCCTATCCATCTGATATATTTTCTTCCCGTCGCCGCAACATCTCGCCGCCGTGAGCCGCTGCACCTTCGAAAATTCCGACGACCTTCACCGGCGAGCACCATCAGCAGCGACCTCCCGTTGACGAGCAGGCCAGCAGCGATGACGTGAACGCCGTGTCAGTCCCATTCGACGAAGTTCAGCGGCCGTCAATCGAGCAGCGTTCCCCGCGATCGCCCGACTTCCGGCGAACCCTCCAACTCCGAATTCCGTCGCTACCCTCTCGCCGTGATCTTCTCGCAGTCGCCGCAAGCCCGTCAACACCTCAGCGGCGAGTAGCCTCTTTTTCCGGCGAGGCGAAGCTTGCCGTCGAGCCTCGGGTCGTTTCGCGTGTCGTTCGATCGAGCCCGTCAACCTTTCGTTCGTTCGTTTTCGTTTATTTTCCGAGAACGGTACAAGGCTCGACTCGTCTCGTTTAATTTTACGTCTCGTTTATGTTGTGTATTTGATTGTCGTATGTGAAGGTTTAGTTCAAGAATATATGCCTATGTGATTTTGTGTGTATCCGTTAGATTATTTGTGTTGTTTATGAAATTGTGCGTTGACAAGCCTTTCGATTTTGGAAAATCGAACGTGGCCTCGTCAACTTGTGAATTTGTCGCTGTGGGCTGGAAATTACGTTGTCCATAGTCTTATGGCGAAGACTTCGGACGGATTCGTCGTAAAACGAGTCGGTTACGAATTGTTGAAATTGTTTAATTGCTGTTTTGATATATAAATTATGATAAATTCTAGGATGCTCGTATCAATGTGAAATTTTATGTGCTCGACCCTCTGCTGGAAATACATGTTGTGTAAAAATTTTAGATTTAAATAATAAGTTTATCTATTTTTAATAATTGTTTGGAAATCTGAGCAGAATCTTGTAAAATGCATATTAAATTCCGTTGTGCCTCAAAAATTTCGAAATTTGAATATGTTGTCTTCCTGTGTGTTTTCTAAGTCGTGTAAAAGTTTTAGAATGTTTGGACTTCGTTTGCTATATTTAAAAAATTATTTTTGTATTCTGCAGCTTCATAATTTAATTTTAGTAAATTGAATTCTTGCTAGAACATTTTGAAACTTTACTGAGATGCTTATTTTATGTAATTATTCATGCTGTTAAAATATGAAAATTTTTGGAGTTCATTTTGGTTCGATCTTGATTTAAATTTGATAAACTGCTGAATCTCGTTTGAATTTTTAAAAATAGCAGAAGTTAATGTTAAGGGCTGAGATTTTTATATGTTGTTTATATCATGCTGTAGTAGGTTGTGTAAAATTATCAAGTCCTTAATCATTCATTAAGCTTGAGTATAAATTCATGGCTTGATTTTGCTGATATCTTGTGGGAATTTTGTAAAAAAGTGTACTTGGGATTTGAAGCTGAAAATTTGTGTATTTGCTTAACTCTGGGAGGTGAAATTTTGATTAAAATTTCAGGATCAAATTCAAATCATAACCTGGTCAACTTATTTTGGTGGCTTAAACCTAGTATTTTGGATGCATAGCTTTTGGAAATAAAAACTGTGAATCATCTCGTTTTCTATTTCCTTGAATGTTTGGCCTGATCTGTGCCTTGGATTATGTGAACACCCATGTGAACTTGGTTGAGTCTAGATGTCGAGTCTAAGTGTTCCAACGTCCACAGGACTTCACGAACAACTTAGTTGAATAAAGTTCGACTAAGTACGATTGTGATTTTCCGTCTAAGTCAGAATAGATGTTGATTATAGCATCTGGACTTAATGTAGGTGTTTGACGAGTCGAGCTCGCAGCCTATTCGTGCTTTCGTGATTATCTCCTTTTCGCGACCAGGTGGGTTTTATTTAAAATCGTCTATGCAATAAATTGTTTACTACTTGTATATGATCAATGTACGCCTACGAATGATGTAACCTTCGATGTGAGCTGTGTCGGCCGTCGAACGGTTGTCCCGTATTTATGAAATGAAAACCCGAGGGGTTACTCCTACTGACTGGGCATCGATAGAAGCCCATTGGGCATTCGATGTGTAAGACCGGAGGGTGGAGACATAAAGCCCATGGGGCGTTCGATAGAAGCCCGTGGGGCATTCGATGCATCTACCGGCAGTAGTCTATTGGTATAGATGTGCACATGAGTCTGAACACTGTGAATTTATGATGAAAATTTTGGGGATACGTGATTGATTCTTGTACATGCTGTGATCATAAATTCTGTTTTGATATGAAAATTTTTACTGCATAGTGGTGAGCACTACTTTTTCCAACTGTGCTCATCCCCACTTGAAATTCACGTTTCAAGTTAAACGAGGCAGGCACGATGGCGGAGTAGAGCGAGTGGTGGTCGGTCTATAAGACCGGTTTATTATTTGTGATGCTTCCGTATATATGAATTCTAGATTTTATGACTAAACTTAGAGTATTTCGGATTTTATGACTTGAATAATGTTGGAACCCGGTTTGGGTGATTTATGGATTTTTGGAAAACCCGTTTGGGAGTGAGTATTATTGAATGATGATTGAGTTTGATAATTGATTGAATATTGGAAAGTTGGATAAGTATTGATGTTCGGAAATGAGTAGCGCCTTAAATGAGTATTTTAAAATAAATTTTGAACAATTTTATTCTGATTTTCGGTAAATAAAAGTGGGGCGTTACAATCTCTCTTTTTTTTTCGCACGCATTTTTCCATCGGGAGAAAAAGAGATTGAGAATCCCCTTCATCTCGTCTCTCTCGATCTCTCCCGCTCTCGTCCGATTGACTATGTGCCGTCATCCCTCATCCTCGAAATTAATCTTAACCGACGACCACCGTGTGTAGCAGTGACCGAGCTATCCGTATTCCATCCATCGTCACGTCTGAGCAGGTTGCAGGAACCAGCGTTTTTCCCAGCGACGTTGAGCGACCCCCGCGAGGCGAGTTTCGTTCCCCGATTGAAGCACTCCGACCGGCGACCAAGGCTTCGACCAACGACCTTCCTCCGACCACGCCAAGCGTCCGACAACTCGTTTTCCAGGGTGCTCTGTTTCTTTCATGGGCCTCCAGCAAACTTTACCAGCGACGGACCGCGACCTCTGCGCTCGAACCGGCCAGAATCGCGACCACCCTGAACTACAGAGCCCCTTAACCAGCGTCCTCAACCATCTCCGTTCAAGTCCAAGCATCGTCCTCCTGTTGACGGGAAACTCCAGCCTTCCGTGACCAAGCCTCCGGAGATTTCGACATCGATTTTCGTCGAGCTGTGTCTACTCGCGAGCCCGACCACTGTCTGCGTTTGAATAAACCGGTCAGCGGCACCATCAGACTCCGAGAACCTTCGAATTCCAGCCGTCGTTCGCAGCAGCACCCCATCGAGGAGCTTCAGCCGCATGTCCTCGAGTAGCAGACCCTAGAGCAGCAGCCGCGGGTTGAGACGAGCCCTTGTCCGTGCTCGTTTAGCCGCCTCGAACCTTAAACAGTAACATGTCGAGACCCGTTGGAGACAGCCGCGGCCCGACAGCCTCGACTAAATGCGCCTAGCAAGCCACCGGCGTCTTTCCATCAGTGCCCGTTCGTTTCATAGCAGCAACCTTCCCGTTTATTCGAACCGAGAATGCTGAGAGCCTAACCGAGCCTCGATACCGCTTATTTTCCGATGGGAAGCACCCTTTCCATCCCCGTGCGAGAGCGGAGTGCTGAGAACCCCAACAGCGACCCCGTAGAACCGAGCCCTTCACCTTTATTCTTTGTTCTCTCGTGTGGTGAATGGTAATGGGTGGTTATCCCTCGTCTTTTAATGTCATTTGATAAAATATATTGGTCTTGGTGTTTATTTGATGGGTGTTTAGATATCATGTGAATTTTAATGCCTCGTTGATATGTGTATGAATAGCTTTAATTTTAATTGTTGAATGTAGTGATCTCTTCGATTTTGTGAAATCGAATGAGACCTTGTTCTAATCGTGTTAGGACTGTGGATTTTGGAACATTGAAGAGTCCTTGGCCTTATGGTGAAGGTCTCGGACGAAGTTATTGTGTTATGTGTCGTTTATAATTTATCAAACTCGAATAGTCACTGTTTATTTGTTAAAATCATGATAAATCCAATGCTACTCCGATTGATGTGAATTTTTGTGTGTTAAGTGCTCTGATGATTATACATGTCGTGTAAAATTTTCAGATTTAAATTCCAATTGTAGCTATTTTAATTAATTATTTTGATTTCTGGACAGATTAGTGTAAATTGTATATACAATTGGTTTGTGCTTCAAAATGGCTGAATATTTAATATATTGTCTCCCTGTCTTAGGTAGATGTTGTGTAAAAATTTCATAATTTTTGGACTTCATTTGTTATGGTAAATAATTTATTGTGGAATTCTACTGAAACTTGTTTTCATTGTGATAATATTATTTGTTGCTGTAAATTGCTGATATTTGGTCGAAGTGCTTATTTAATGATGTTATGTTTGTGGAAAAATGCTCAGAATTTTTGGGGTTCATATTGGTTCAGTTTTGCTGAAATGTTGATATCTGCTGAATTTTGTTGCAGTTTTCATAATTCGCATGTTTAATATTGAAAGCTGAAATTTTTATATGTTGATAATCACATGTTGTAGTTACGTGTATAAAGTTTCAAATGTTAACTCGTTCATTTGGTTAGGCTTTGAATTTGTGCTCGTTTCTGTTGAAAACTTGTTTTAATTATATAAAATCGTGTGTTTTGAGTTAAGAGCTGAAACTTGGTGATTTTGCTATATCCAGTGTTGTGGATTTTGTGTTAAAGTTTCAAAGCCTAACTCATTGAGTTGCTGGACCAACTTGAATATGTGATTCTCGTCAAATATTTCAAACATTTGGTTATTATGTTGGAGTCTGTAAACTGGCAATCATGTTGTTCCTTGTTACTTGTTTTGGTCATCTCTTATTTGAATTTATGTGTAGTCCCATACGTGGTTTGGTTGAGTTTAAGTGCTAAGTCTAAATGTTCCAACGTCCACAGGACTTCACGAACAACTTAGTTGAATCAAGTTCGACCAAGTATGATTTGTGTTTTCCGTTCAAAGTCAAGATAAGTGTTGATTGTAGAATCATGACTTAATGTAGGTGTTTGAGAAGTCAAGCCTCGACCTACGACATTACTTATTGAGTTATTGTCAATCCGAAATCCAGGTGGATTAGTTATTCTAAAATATCTATGCATGTGTGTTTTATGTGTTAAACCGGTATGATCTATGTATGCATGTGAGCATGTAGCCTATCGATGTGAGTTTGATGGCCATCGGTATGGTTGTCCCCGTCGATGTAATACGGTTACTCTTACGAGGTAAATCTCCTTAAGACCTATAGAAAGGCCGTGTCATTGATGTGGCACGCACTCCCATGTCATTGATGTGGCATGGCTAAGCTTAGATGTGCACATGAGTGTCTTTGATGAGACTAGAGTCATTGATGTGACTAGAGATGAGACATAATGTTATTATTATTTATGTTCATACTACGACCATACCATCCTAACATATTACGTTTTATTTATATGCATAGTGTGAGTACAATATTTTCCAACTGTACTCACTCCCACCTGCTCTTCACGGATGCAGGTTAAGCAGTTGGCGAGTGATGAGACAAGGTGAGTGGGTGCTCTTACTCATCTATGAATATTATTTACTTCCGCATTTATGAACTTATGTTGGAATATTTGATCATGTTGAATTGGTTTGATTTTGAAAACGTGATTGTATTGGTTTATGTTGAAAATCTTTCAATTTGATATTCATGAGAATGTGATTAGGAATATTATGATGTTTATTATGTTGATGAGATTATGGTTAATGAAAACCTTTGAAAAACCGGGTAATGAATCCCTGTAGTTCAGACATGATATGAACCAAGTTTTGAAATGAATGAATAACGCCAAAAATGTTTATGATTTCGAAAAATAAAATTCAAGAATTTTATTGTGATTTTTGGAAAAGCCATGAATTTTCTTTAAAATCAAAGTGGGGCATTACAATCACCTCTGTCGCATGTTAAGCTCTTTCTGGGTGAAAATATATTGCAAACTCTTGTGGTCGGTAAAGATTTCGCATCTTCCGTTGTACAGATAATACCTCCAAATCTTCAGGGCGTGAACCACTGCAGCCAACTCAAGGTCATGAGTCGGGTAGTTCTCCTCATGCGGCTTTAGCTGTCAAGAAGCATAAGCCACAACTCTGCGTTCTTACATCAGTACACAGCCTACACCTTGTTTTGAGGCATAACTGTATATAGTGAAATCCTGAATGGGATCTGGTATAGTCAACAAAGGCGCCGTTGTAAGCCTTTGTTTGAGTTCCTGGAAACTCGCCTCACAACGGTCGCTCCATTCGAACCACTGATTTTCTCGTCAAACGAGACAAGGGCAGGGCTATCTTAGAAAACCCCTCGATGAAACGCCTGTAATAGCCAGCTAATTCGAGGAAACTTCAAACCTCAGTGGCATTCTTCGGTGTTGACCAGTTACGAATGGCCTCTATCTTTGCTGGGTCAACTTTTATTCCTTTCGCTGTGGCAATGTGGCCTAGAAAAGCCACTCGATCTAGCCAGAATTTGCACTTTGAGAACTTGGCGTACAATTTCTCTCGTCTAAGTGTCTCCAACACTGTCCTCAAATGCTCCTCGTGCTGCTCCCGGATACACGAATAAACCAAAATGTCATCAATGAAGACGATAACAAACTGGTCCACGAAAGGATGAAAAACACGGTTCATTAGATCCATGAACACCGTCGGTGCATTACTCACACCAAATGGCATCACAACGAACTCATAGTGACCGTATCTCATTCGAAAAGCAGTTTAGCCACATCAGCTTCCTTGATTCTCAGCTGATGGTAGCCAGAACGGAGATCAATCTTTGAGAACACTCTGTGTAACGCCCCACTTTATTTTAAGAGGTTTATCGAATTTATTTAATAAAAATCAGAGTTAATTTTTTTTTTTTTTCAAATCTCAAATTAAATTCTTAAAACTTAGTGGGCGCTACTTAACTACCAAAAACTTTTAACCGAAAATACAACCATATCAGATAAAGTAGGTACATGCATGATTACTAATTATAAAACTTCACTTGCATTCAATAAGTTCCAGAATTATAGAGGCAATTCATAATTCAAGGTTCAAAACGACGTAATAAAAAATATCCCAAATCAACATAAGTTCATTAAAAGCGGAAGCAATAATAATCATAAGTAAAATAAAATAGACCACCACTCGCCCTGCCTCGTCACCTGCCAACTGCTTTACCTGCATCCATGAAGAGCAGGTGGGAGTGAGTACAGTTGGAAAATATTGTACTCACACTATGCATAGGAAACAACTGAGAATATGTTTAGATGGTATGGTCGCAGCATGAACATAAACAATAGGAAATCATGTCTCATCTATAGTCACATCAATGACTCTTGCCATAGCTATGGCTCACTCCTGTGTACACATCTTTCATTAGTCGAGGAAAGGGGATTCATTACCCTAACGGCGAGAGAGCATGCCACGTAAGGACACGGCCTTTCATTAGGTCTTAAAGAGACTTGCCTCGTAAGAGCAACCGTATTACATCGACGGGGACAACCCTACCGATGGCCATCAAGCTCACATCGATAGGCTACATGCTCACATGCATACATAGATCATACCGGTTTAGCACATTTAAAACACATAAGCATAGATATTTTAGAATAACTAACCCACCTGGTACCAAAAATAGCAATTAAATACTCAAGAGTCGATAGGATGATAGCACGACTCGTCAAACACCTACAATGGTTACGAGGGTCCTATCAATGACTATCCAACACATAGATATACTCATATCAACATTCATATCAAAAACACGTAGGTCAATTCAGCCCATATAAGTCATATAAGCAAGCATTGAAAATATAGATTTTATTTTTCGAAAACACCACATAAATTTTCAAAACATAACCCGCACAGCGATTTTGAAATCGACACCATTTGCAGCACATAATTCATATTGACATGAATCTAGTTGAATATGAACCCTAAGACATGTCTCTACAATTCATATGAAGACATCAGAAGCAAATAATAGCATTTAGTAGGTCATAAATCATCAAACATTTGAAATAGGGATGCTGTGAAAAATCTGGAAACATATAGCGGACAGGACCTCAGTATTATTAATTTAAGTGAAGCTACGACATGCTATTAAGAAATTTCTAAAACCAAAATGTAGCTAACTCATTTATCTACAACTTTGCTGAAGACCCTATTGAGCAATAATAATTCTATCTATGAGTTTTAACACAAAACATGCGATTCATATAATCTGGCAGAACCAATTTCGGATACAAACAGCACCTCAGTTAGACTCTAACTCATGCTACAGAACT